TCTGGAGAAGTGGGCGCGCGGGTACGAAGAGCGTATATATACGTTCATACCATATATATACTTTAATTTCATACTTTACAATGAGATACTTTTGTTAATCGAGTATCTGGCAACGCTGCGTGCCTTAAACAATCGACTATCATGAAATATAACACTATTGACAAGACGATATTGTGTTTTAATTCTAACGATACACAGTATCGGTCTTCTTTAGAACATTGCCAGCGACGGGTATATACCAGCAATTTATAATAGTAGCGATTAAAAGGTTTACACGAATTTATAATTCTAAAATAATTTTGTCGGCTCAATTTTAACAATTCACGGGTAAACACTCAATTTCTGCCTTCGCGATGATACGTTGAGTTTGAAAGTATTTAATTGTTTTAGACCCATTATTCAAATCATGGGGAAAAGAAAATTTAGGAGAATATTTTTCGCGAGTGATAGCGAAAATACTGAAAGTGAAAATACCGCTACTGAAAGCGTTTGCCATGGAAGACGAACGGTAACGTGCTCTCGAGATCACAAAAATCTGAATATATTTGGACTACGGAAAACTTGGAACCAGAAATACATTCCGTACTTCGGTGCCAACTACTCGATAATACGCTCCGTTCACGGCGATCACATTTTCACGCGAGCGCTCCGTAGCGAAAGGGTTAAGAGCGGCCGGATTTACCGCGGCGCGGATTTCTTGACGCGGGGACGAACCGCGCGGGTTGTGAGGGCTGCTTAAAACGTCGATGCCAGTGGGCGCCAATAAAGTTTATCGACGATTAAGCGGAATTAATTGGCCGGCCGGTGCGCGTTCGCGTGTCGGACGATCGTCCGTCGCTACCGGTCGGTTTGTCGCGATCCTTTTGCGGCCGAATACTCCGCGGCCTGGTTTGATTAATTAACGACCTAGACGGGGCCCTATATTCCGTCCCGAGCGGTCCAGTCGGACGGAAAACTGGTACGCGACGCTCGAAATCCGCGAACGCGAACTGAAACGCTCGGACGAGGCTGCGCCGTTGCCATCGTCGTTCGTTTAGGGTAGTTGTACCGATTGGGACAAGGTTAACCCTTTTAGGTACAATTTTCTTTGCTGTTACGACGATTGGAACTTTCTCGATCGTTATGATTTCTTGGGAGGAAAGAATAGAAATTTTTGTTACGCTTTTTTACGTTTCGTTCTTCTTCGTATTTCGTTGCTCTTGTAATTTTGTTTTGCTTGTAATTTGTTTCAGTTCATCCTTTTTTTCTTTTGCTTTGTCATTGTTGATAAGCGATAGCAAAATTCTTTTACAATTGTCAAAGTACTTTTTTCTTTTAATTTCGGTATTGTTGGGAATTTTCATTTTAGGCGCAGATTAAGAAAAAGCGAAGAAACGACAGTTATTTTATAATTTCTTTTTTTATTTCAAGGTAATGGTAAAATTAAAAAAAGAATTTCAAGCGCGAATTAGAGAGAAGTTAACGTATATACTTGAAGCTAGTTAGTTGCTTTATCTGACAAACATGTGAAAATCAAAATTGCTATTAAAATGTGAAAATCAAAATGCGAAATTAAAATGTGAAAATTAATATACGAAATTAAGATGTGAAAATCAAAGTAGCTATTAAATTGTAATAATTCAAATGCGAAAATCAAAATAGCTATTAAAATGTGTAAATCAAAATGCGAAATTAAAATATGAAAATCAAAATGCGATATCAAAATGCAAAAATCAAAATACATTATCTATTAAAATGTGACAATCAAAATGCGAAATTAAAATGTGAAAATCCAAATGCGAAAATCAAAATAGCTATTAAAATGTGACAATCAAAATGCGAAATTAAAAATGAACATCAAAATGCGATATCAAAATGCAAAAATCAAAATACATTATCTATCAAAATGTGACAATCAAAATGCGAAATTAAAATGTGAAAATCAAAATAGCTATTAAGATGTGACGATCAAAATGCGAAATTAAAATGTGACAATCACACAAAATGCTAAATTAAAATGTGAAAATCAAAATATCTATTAAAATGTGACAATCAAAATGCGAAATTAAAATATAAACACCAAAATGCGATATCAAAATGCAAAAATCAAAATGTCTATTAAAATATGAAAATCAAAATGCGCAAAACAAAATAGCTATTAAGATGTGACGATCAAAATGCGAAATTAAAACGTGACAATCACGCAAAATGCTAAATTAAAATGTGGAAATCAAAATAGCTATTAAAATGTCGAAATCAAAATAGCTATTAAAATGTGACAATGAAAATGCGAAGGTTAAAATGCGAAAATGTCACAGCCAGCCCCGGTTCCGTCGCACGCGACGCGAGCCGAAAGAAGGACGGCGCATGCCGAGCCCTTTGTCGAAAATATACGTTGTTAACCGCGGCGGCGGGCAACGGAGCCGTTAATATGTTTATTGTCGGGCGGCCCACCCGCGCCACAAGTGAAACGGGAATGGGTCGCGCTATTAAATTGTACCGCTGTCTCCCATAATCCACGAACACCCCGCCATAACCCGGCGCTGTTTTACCCGTGTCTCATAAACGCGGGAAATGTATCAATTTCCTGCGCGGTGAATTCCAAGGCTGCCCATTATTAACCGTAACGCTACTGCCCCCCTCGCCCATCGCCCCTCCGCCACCCCCCTTTACCGTGCCGCACTAAAAAGAAAAATCTACACTTTCCGCGGATCGTCCGCCAAACGAAAATTACGTTATCACCGTCGAGCTTTTTCATCCGGACTCTATCCAGCCGCCGTAAAAATGCGCGTAGAATGGTTAATACTCCGTTAACCTGCTGCCGTTGCGACTTTATTTCGCCCGGGATGGCCGCGGCCCGGGTCGTCGGCCATTTCTATTATAAGTGGACGATTCCACGGATCGCTGACAATTAGGGATTTTTGCTCGACGCTTAAAAATAAACTTATCCGCCGTGCTGATCTGTCGACGTTCTCCGCTGAGAACGCGAGAAAATGCGGCGAGCAGTTATCCGATATTTTTTCGCGAAAATTTCAAGTGAACAGCTTGTCCATTCGGATTCCAATTTCTCGAAAAGCACCGATCGGGGGTGCTTTGTTGTTTTATTCATTTACTAAATACAATAAATAACGAAAATAAAATATGTGATGGATGATAAATAAGAAGTATGTGAAATGTAATATATAGGTATTATAATTTATGTAATAAATACGATATATAAATATATAATATATGTAATAAACATAATATATAAATATATGATAGATAATAAATAAAAGATATATAAAATGTAATATATAAATATATAATTTATATAATAAATACGATATATAAATATATAATATATATATATGTAATAAACATAATACATAAATATATAATATATATAAAAAATATAATATATAAATATATGATAGATAATAAATAAAAGATATATAAAATGTAATATATAAATATATAATTTGTATGATAAATACGATATACAAATGCATAATATATATATAATGAACATAATATATAAAAATATAATGTATATAAAAAATATAATATATAAATATATAATATACAGGGTGTCCCGAAAATGTCTCGCAAACCGAAAACGAGAAGTTCCTGGGATCATTTGAAGTAACTTTTTCCTTAGCGAAAATGCAACCCGTGGCTTCGTTTACGGATTATTAACGAAAAACACTGGCCAATGAGCGGCGAGCTCGCCCAGTGCTTGGGCGGCCGAGCCAATGAGCGCACGAAGCCCAGTTCCGCCCATTGGCTCGGCCGCCTTGCGCCAGCATATCTCACCTCTCATTGGTCACTCTTTTTCGTTAATAACTCGTAAACAAAGCCGCAGATTGCATTTTCGCAAAGGAAAAAGTTATTTCAAATGACCTCAGCTACCCCTCATTTTCGGCTGTTAAAGTAATTGTGGAACACCCTGTATGATAATTCATCCTGGTAAATCCTAAACAATTTGCTCTAATCTCTTCTAGCTAAATCTACTTTGGTACAGTTGATCCAGTCAAATCCGATTTAGTCATAACTAAGTTCCCTAAATCTATTGTTAATAATTCCTAAACGAAGCCGTGGATTGCATTTTCGCCAAGGACAAACTTACTTCAAATTACCTCGGGAACCTCCCATTCTCGGATCGCGAGACATTTTTTTGGGACTGTATATATAAAAAATAAGTAAAATATTATAATTTAATGGACACAGTTATCGTTGCCCCGATAAATCAATTTAGTACACAACTTCCTGCGATAGAAAATTTTTATTTTATAAATAAACGTTCGCCAAACTCCCCTAAAGTCCACTGCACCTCCCTTTCGCCTACAATTCTTACCGTCGCCTCTTATTTGTATCCGCTGGAACCCGAAGCGAGTTCAAGAACAGGAAGAAACGCATTGCTGAAATGAAATTGTTCGATCTCGCCTCGAAGACCCACGATCTACTTATGATCGACGCTGCGACGCGCGTCGAAGATCATTCGCTGGTAATAACCGCGATTATTTCGACTTTCAGGTGGCGATCCGGCCGGGGGGAGCAACATGGCGCGGCGATGCGTCGCCGGTAATCGATACCCCGAGGAAATCGATTCGATGGAAAGTCGAGCCAGGCCGGGTTCGGTTCACGTTCGAGACCGACTCGCGGACCATCGAATCGGGTGAAGGCCGCCACGAAAAACCGTTTCTCGCGGCGGTTCTTGCGGCGAGCCGTGCTGGATCCGGATCGATCCTCTCGATCCCCGGCTCCAATTTCGGGAATTACGATGCCGTGTTCGGCTTGGATTCGTGCCACGTAGCCCGGAGACGATCGCCGTAGCGCTGGGAGAACCGAGAGAACCACCGTTGGCTCGGGGATGCTGTTGCTGCCGAGGAGCAGACCCCTGATCGATTCAATTAACAGAAGACAGGGAGAGTCGCGGCAGAAAAACACGAGGCTGGGTTGTACCCCGGAGATTCGGACGACGATTCTCGTCGATGATTCGTCGGAGGGGCTCGTTGATCAGGACGACCGAGACAGTTTCGTTGCCGGAGGAGGCCCTGGAATCAGGGTGTCAAGTGTCTTTTGAGATTCAAGGTGATTGTTCTTCGAATCTAGTTTCGTCTAGTTTAGTTTAGATTAGTCTAGGTTAAGTCTAGTTTAATATAGTTGGATTAAGTTCAGTCTAATTATATCTAGTTTATTCTTGTTGTCTTTTATCTAGCCGTGCACCATTTAAGAATTTGACGAAGATTTTGGTTTCTTGCTTGACAATGGTGGTATATATTTAAAAATGACGCAAAATATTGCTTATATATATATATTTTTAATTTTATATCATTTATTTATATATTAATTACAGCAATGCCTAAGTAATTTAACTTTAACTTATATAACTTTGAAACTTATTTAACTTTGAAATTTAAAATTTAACTTTAACTTTAACTTTAACTTTAACTTTAGCTTTAACTTATAATTTATTTAACTTAATTTTAACTTTAACTTATACCTTATAACTTATTTAACTTTAACATACATATATAATTAATATATGTATATTATATAATACATATATTAATTACATATATGCTAAATTACTTAGATATTGCTGTAATTAATACATAAATAACTAATATATAATAAAAAGATATATATGCATATAAGCAATAATTGCAACATTTGGTTAATACAATAAAATTTTGAGTCTTAATCTACTCGAATCTAATCTAATCTAGTTGGATTAAGTTCACTCTAAATGAA